ATTTCAGGGTGCTAGTATACCTGGTATACACGACTTCCTGCTCCGTATCTCTCTTCATTCCTTTGTCAAAACGAGTCTTGACTTCAACATACATACAGGTTCATGTACAACTGCAGCAGTAGCTGCTCTGAGTCTGACCCAAGTCAAGTGTCCACTTCACGATCGATAATAAAAATAATCGAACAATACAAATCGCTCACTATGTCGGAGTGTCGCAGGAGCGGAACTTCCGCAGGAGAGTACTAGTATACGCTCCAAATATTCTGGAGTAGCGGATTCGATCTTTCCGCCACCGCGGAAGTTTCGCTACTCGCAGTTTCCATGGTGATACCGGTACAAGCTGCTGCGACATGCACATGCGACACCGCTGCGCTGCATGCAGTGGATCCGCGGATCCGCAACTCTCAAGTGCATATGTGGTGGGACCGGGCCAGGGCATGCACCGACAGGTCCGTCAGTGCATGCCATAGACTAGTTACAGCTGTAGCTGGGATTGACTGTTTCCAGGTCGTCCCACTACATCTAGACTACATGGCTTGTACAATGACAATTATAGCAATAAAAACTGCTTTATGGCAGTTTTCTAAAAAAAGTTATTGTGTTCTAGTCCATGGACCCCGTCTAAAAAGTAAGAAATTAACGAAATGTGATAGCCGAAAAATTAAAATTTCACACAAAACCTCACAATAATCACAACACTTGAAATGCTCCTTTCAACACTAAACTTGTACTGCATCAACAATTGGCAACATGCAGTCATGCATGCATAGGAAAGAGGATCACGAGGGTAAAAGGTCTTCTACATGTAGCTTTTCATTCTGTGTGAGATTATTGTGAGGTTTTGTGTGAAATTTTAATTTTTCGGCTATCACATTTCGTTAATTTCTTACTTTTTAGACGGGGTCCATGGACTAGAACACAATAACTTTTTTTAGAAAACTGCCATAAAGCAGTTTTTATTGCTATAATTTCTTTTGTTTTTTTCTGTCACCAATCAATGGAATGCCCTATATCAATCGATGGCCTTCACATCATATTAATACCGTATTATACGCATTGATGTGCAAGCCTTTTCTTGTAGAAAATGGCACTGGCATGTTCTTCTGCAAGGAAACATGTGAGTAGTGGTGGACCGTGGCGATACTTTTTTTATACGGAGGTCATTCTGTGCATGTTGCTGTAGCAGAATTTCATGACTCTGTCATAAAATTGTCTTGCCTTTCAGATATTTCAGATTTCCCCACCCTCGATCAGATTTATTTGAGAAATGTAACCAGGTGCGTGTCGCAGATGTTTTTGTTGATTCTGTGTTTAATCATGGGTTATCGTGATAAGGTCATCCTGCATCATATTGCACTGAAATCGTAATCTTGTTGATGTCGATACAACTTTTGCAAGTAGTTCAATGACTTCAAACTGTTAGTCCACGATTTTCTAAAACAACACAGCAAAGGAGGAACAATAAACATGTATTAAAATGTAAACAAACACATTGGTGAGTCCGACACCTCGTTCCAACAACTACACTGATCCTGAGGATAAAAGTGGCAAGGCTATAGTTGGAGGTACTGAGAGATAAACAAGGCACTCCATAATAATAAAAATGTTACACGACTTTGGGTGAGTATGAATGATATCCAGTCGAACCTCTTTAGGACGAACACCAAGGGACCGATGGTATTTATTCTGTGAGTTTGTCTTAACCTATTTTATAACCAGTGAATACAATTATTTCTCCAATAGACATACGAATAGATTTCTTCTACAGCGAAAGATTCTAAGCCACAACAACTCATTGACTCGTCTCGTGTGAAACAAATGAGTCACTAGAGAGGTTCTGCAAAACGAAAATGCGTACAAACTTTCGTTCTACGTCATGAAGTGCGAAACTTCGCACGAACTTTCGCCACTTTGGACGCGAAATGAACTGTCGTACAGACTTTCGTGAGATCTGGTCATGGCGTACGTGCACTTGGCCCGCGCAAACTACGAAAATGTGCAGAACGCAAAGTTTGTGCAAAAATTCGTACACAGTTTCGCAAGGACTGTCGCGAAACTTCGTTCGAATTTTCGTTTTGCAGAACCTCTCTACGGAACGTTTCTTTAGCAACATGACGGCAACTGAAACAGCAACAGAGAAAGTACGATACATGTACAGCACATTCTTGCAGGCACTACAAACAGATTGCAGATCGTAATTCTTGCTTTGGCGGCGCGAAACTTTATTTGGGGCAGTGCAATCTCGGCGGTACTCACAAATAATAAATCAAACAGCCCAGACTCGACTAAACAAATCCAATCATACAAGTACGAGGTCTTCACGAGACGAGACTGCACCCATTGGCTTGTTTCGTATGAAGCAAACAAGTTTACTGAACCTCTCCACAACGGAGATTTTCCCTGATATGCGAATTTATTTTGCAAACTTGGTCAATGGGTCCTTGAACCTTTCCCTCCAGATTGGGAACTGCCAACGATAGTATGCCACTGACCAGTGCCTTACTTGTAACGTACCAATGTACAATGAATATGAGTATTTCGACAACACATCTAACATAAGCCTTACCGTCAAGAAGGTGAACTCGCGTTCTTCGCACACTGTAGACAAGGGCAAAGAGATAAAAATGGATCTAAATCCGAATAAAATCAGCACACGTTTCCGTAAATGAAAGGGTGAGCATAAGCAAATGAATCGAAGGGAACCGGTCAACTCAGAGATCACCTGTCATCGAGTATTCCGTAAAAGGAGGCCTCGGCAGCGGAAAAGCTAAATTTAGAAAAGAGATCCTGCCAGCTTTTCCATTATTTATTGCATTCCGCCCAAAATCAACACACTTTTGTAAATGAAAGAGTCAACACAAGCAAATGAATCAAAGGAAATTGGTCAACTCACCTGTCATTGAGTAATATTCCGCGAAAGGAGGTCTCAGCAGCGCCGAAACGAAATAAGCCAGGCCAGGAGACGAAATATCCGAAACAGCTCATACAAGAAGCAGTTCCAAAGGAGGAAGTTCCTTGCGCATGCACATGCGAACACGGACTGCACTGCAACACAATGTCTGTCGTGCACGTGCACAGCACGCGGGTACCACCCGTTGGTAGATCTAAATACCGAGCACCTTACGTAGAGACTTACGTAGCCAAAGTGAAATACCGAGCACCTTACGTAGAAACTTACGTAGTATAGCGGTGTCGTTTTTCTTGCCATGTGAACACAATAATAGAAAAGCTGACAGGATCGCTTTTCTAAATGTCATGTAAACGGCACTAGTACATGTATACTACTGCCGTACTGGTAGATCTACATGCAGTAGATCTACATCATACATGTCATGCAGTGCGTGACTGCGTGTACCACAACGTAATCGTTTAATACTTACCGGTGCAATATTATTACTTCTCAGTATGCATGATTGTACTACATAATGTAGTAGATCTGACTGTACTTGAATTTGTTTTCGCTTCAAGTGCGATTATGTCCTTTCTGTGGAAGCTATGCTTGAGCATAATATAGAAGGGAGTTCGAACGCCATTCGAGCCAGAATCTGAGTGCGGATGACGTCCTGGTAAAGATTGCTGAGGATAGCGACAGCGAGGCTGTCCACGATTATAGTATGTGGGATGCTGAGAATATCGTTGAGGAAGGAATTGTGGCTTGTCGGATAATGCAGCTGATGATGACGCTTTATAAATCACAGGCGACGCTTCAGCCTATGATTATCTGCTGCTGGTGTACCCACGAACAGGAGCGCAGCAATGCAAGACAACACCCATGGCTAATACTGCTGGCGATGATTATGAAGTTGTGCCCCACTGATAATATGTACGATTCTTAGCTGACGACATGATCCGCTAAATGTAGCCTGTGGGCCAGGAAAAGTTTGAGATGCAGACCTGCTTGGTGCGTTCTCCGGCAGAAAACACAGCAGTCAGCTACCATGTGGATACCTTTCTGTGACGAGCAATGTTCCAGATGCTACAGTGTCACAGAGACTAATCACTATGAGCACAGAAGCAGCGTTCCACGCAGCAACCATGAGCGATATGAAGGTGTTCCTTGATGTCAAGGAGCTCACCAGCTTGGTTTGGCAATCTCAACTCTGCAGGTCAGCTCACCCAGTCATACACATCTTGCCTGCTCTGAGCAGCCTGGTCATATGAATCCCGGTGTTTTTTACGGATCACTCTGAATAACGAAGCAAAAAGCCGCTCCAATATCATACACCAGTTGTTTATTATTGTGCCCTGATCTTTTGTTGGGTCCTTGAGAACCTAGAGATGTTTTGGGTTCGAGTCCGAGCCGGAAGTCTCCTACTGCTGGCCACAGTCAACTCTGCCACCCCCCACCATTCAGATTGATGCAGACAGAGTAGTAGCAGTGTGAACCTGATGAAGGCAATTTGACGAAACGCTGTAATATTGTGAAATAAATTGAAGTATTGCAGTGTTAATGGAAAAATCATAGTAAAGGGGTGGGGTAACGACTACACAGGTTGGTAGACAGCGAAATGCCTCTCCACCATCCTACATGACTTGTACACGACTGTACCCTAGTCGTATTTTACCAGGCATTTGAGACCAGTAAATTGCTGTGCCTTCTAAAGGGTACCTAGCCTCATTATCCCCCTCATAACGGTCCAGCTAAGGACTGGTGGACAGGTGATTATCAGACAGCGGTACTTCTCCTTCAAACGAGTGTTAGTGTTTGTTGGGTGGGGGTGGTGTTGGGGGAGGGGGCAGGATTATGTGGGTGGGGCTATGCGTGTGTGTGTTTTCATGTTTGTGTGGTGTGTGTGTATGTGCGTGTGTGCATGTGTGTGTGTGTGTGCGTGTGCGCGCGCGTGCGCTGGTGTGCGCTTGTGCTAGCGAATGTATATTCTAATGTTCTACGGTAACTGCATCTTCTGGTCTGCCTGTTGGCTTGCTTGCTTACTTGTATCTGTCAGTGTGTAGTCATACGTGTTTTCCTGTTCTGTTTACTTTTGGATGTCTATAGGTCAATATAAACTCTTGGGTGGAGTACAACAGTATGTGGCTTGTTGTCCTACTCGTTGTTCTTAGTGCAACATGGATGTCTGTTCCGGCATCTGCAGGTAAGACAAAGAAGACAAAAGTGTCGTTTGCAAAAATTGTGATATGTACCTTGGCAAATACTGGCGTTACTGGCTGAGGACGAGTTAGTAAGACTATTGGACATATCGGTCTTCCAACAACTCGACAACGCAAAGCAACAGACCACCCAACTTGGTAGGCTCAAGTTTATGTGATAAAGCTGGACTGCCTATTGATTCGCGTCGTCAAGATGTAGTAAGACCGACACAATAAATTTTGGATCCATTAAGGGTGCATTCATACTACGGGATAGATCAGCAGTGTAGGAAAAGGCATCATTACAGTTTTAGAAATTGGCACTCAGCCGTAGCAGCAGCAGTTCAGTTTTTCCCGCCCCTTTGGAGCAGTTTGGTAACCACTTCACTGTCGGAAATGCATCAGTATAACACCGACACTGCCACGACACTACGCCCAGACCACTGCACAAAGTGCAACGAAATGAGTTTTGGTCATTTCCCCGCCCGAAGTACCATTGAATTGGTGCACAAGATGTTTTGCAACAGGTTGAAGTGATAATATAATGACAGTAGTCATTTTGAGGAACTGGAGTGTGTCTACGTAAAAGTACTTCCTGTGGAACTGATGAAGAGACTAGAAATTTAATGATGGCAACATGAGAGAGTGTGCATGTCTTAGGTGGATGTGTGACTACCCCCTTATCTAAACCTTCTCCCCATCTGAACCCCCTGTAGACTTTCCGTAGGTTATTGGCCCTCTACTGTATTGTGGTGTTATTGAAATAGTACCTGTGAGTACTGTTCTCGGGCATTAACAAGTCAATAACAATTAGCAGAGCTGGCAAAAATACCCACTGGAGCACATGGAGAAATGGACTCGGTTGGAGAGCCAAGGATAAATTTACAGAAACGAATATAAGCAATGATATCGCAGGAGCTGAGTGTTTAGTACCTGGTGGTGTTAGTGGACATATTAGTGCGTAACTTGTAGTTCCTGAAAGGGCTAAGTGTGTACATGTGTGTATGCCTGTGTTTATGTGTGCGTGTGTGTTTGTGTGCATATGTCGAATTCACTGTTTTCAACCAGCCACATGTCCTCTAACACCAAACCTCTCGGACGGATATTATACTACCAGTATTAGCAGTTTTACAAGTGGTGGCACAGCGACTGCTAATTGTTTTCCAGGATACCAGAGAAATAGACCGTATTTTATCACGTGTGGTAGTAATGGCACTTGGCCTAGTGGTGCTTCTTCTCTTCCAACTTGTACATGTAAGTCGAACCAACTGGACATGATCCAATACATTATTTTCATGTAGAAAGTGCACAAATGCGCCACTTTACTCCATTCCCTTATCTGCTATTCATTCGTTATCTCCGTCAACTGAGGAGCATTTAAAATGAGCGTAACAGCTATCTGGAGGCTATGGAACATCTTCCCAATAACGAATTTCTTCGCTATGGAGTGGTGTTGTGAATGTGGGCAAGCTGTTTCGACCATAAAGGCCTCATCAGTACAGCTACGAGCTAAATAGGCCGAGCTACCAGCCATGCTGCAAATGATGCACCACAGACATTACGATAGCTCGTCGCTCTAACGCCAGAGTGCTCGAACTACAAAACGTAGCTGGCGTTGCATGATGCAGCAGCACTAGAGCAGCCTACTGAGAGTGCTCAACAAGACGAAAGCCGAGAAACGCAATACCCAAAGCTGTAGGCAGCAAGCTCTAAATATTTATAATTATGACTTCAATCTCAGTGATTCACCAAACTCTGAGCGCCAATTTTAAACAAGTTGTCATATGTAGAAGTTTAGGAATTTACTTTCAGCTACTTCAGAGTACTGTATTGCAGGAAAATTTCGGACAGAAATGTTTTCGGACTATTAGATATCCTTAGCTAAAAAAACGCTAACGTAAACGCAAACCTTTCCGTACTTCGGATCGTTCAAGCTGACTTTTCCCTTAGCACAAAGTACGTTATAGTTGAGACGAAGTAGTCGTGACAACCATGGCGATATGAATTTTCGTGGAAACAGGTGCGGGAAATTCAAAATTTTGAACCAGGGATTAGTTTGCTGTCGTTCCGAAAGCATACCTTGGCGAGCTCTTTCACTCTGGAATAGCAAAAGCACGGCGAAAATGAGTTTTCGCTGTTCCCAGGTCCTTGGAAACCCTTTCCTAAACGCAGCACCGAAGACTGTAAGGGTTCTCCAGCTCCAGCACGTCTGGGAGAGGCCGATGAATTTCTTCCTCAGGAGTGCCGTGGAACTGGTCCTTTGTTTCCCAGATGGGATAGAGGGAGAAAGGCACGAAGCAGAGGACGCAGAAATTGTCAACTGAAAGGCAAAACTCGCCAAAAAAGCTAAATGTCACAAGAGGAAGCAATCTCGACTCTCGATCTCATCTCGATCTGCACGACGACGCGACGTGCTTTTTATCTCCCGCCAGTTACAAAACAATGCGAGTTTTTGCATTTTTTGCAGAATTTCCATAACGAACGTCGGCCCGTTATTTTGAGCTCTGTAACGTTTTTCCGTTATCAGATAACGTCTTTTGTCACGGCTGGGAGTGAGTACCGTAAAAGTTAGCGTTATCGTACTTTTGCTAAGGATGTCTAATTAAAGCCGAATTTCGACCTTTCGTACAGTGGTGCATGCTAAATGCACGTGTTTGCAGGCGGTACGCATGTACAGTGCACATAACTTCACGGGAACAAATTTTAGTACGGAATTAATTTTAGTACAAAAGAGGCCGTGTACGAAATCGTACGAGAATAAATTCCGTCCGAAATTTTCCTGCTATTATGTCACAATCATCTGTACTCATTCTATGTGCATGATGGATCTGTCATGACTCCTCACTCTTGGTCAATATTTAAGAAACTGCTTTATTCTCTACAGATGGATACTTAGTTATGGTCTAGATTGGTTTCACTACGGATCAGGTCTTCAGACAATGTTCCGCTAATATCAGATTCAAGTCTATTACATGTGGGTGTGTGCATACACAGTCAACTTCGCGAATAACGACTGCGGATATAACGACAATTCGCGAATAACGACAGAATTTCCATGGCCAGAGCTCAGTCCCATCCAACTGTAATTAATAATTATAATGAGACTTCGAGTATAACGACACTTTGTGAATAACGACACTATTCTGATGCCCCGCCGAGTGTCGTTATGATCGAAGTTGACTGTACGTGTTTTTGTTTGTGTGTTTACGTGTGCGTGTGTGTGTGCGTGTGTGTGCGTGTGTGTGTGTGCGTGGTTGTGTGCGTGTGTGTGTGTGCATGTGTGTGCATGCGTACGCGCATGTGTGTGCATTGAATCAACTATTTCCAACTAGCAACTACATGTTCTGCAGCACCAACAATGGCTAACGGCTATCTTACTTTCAACAGTGAGAGTTTTATGGATGGAGGTTCAGCAACTGCCAGTTGTTTTCCAGGATACAAGTTGACAAGATCACCTACAATCAGTTGTGGAAGTGGCCAGTGGTCTAGTGGTGCTTTTCTTCCAACTTGTACACGTAAGTTGAATCAACTAGACATGATACAATACATTATCTTCATCATAGTGTTAACTCTTTCAGGGTCACAGTGCATAACTAGCATCTGGGCACTGTGACCGAGTACATCAGTGCTATTGTGGAGATAACAGCAAACAACTTGTCAAAACATTATTGTTTCTCAAAGGAGAGAGAGAGAGAGAAAGAGAGAGAGAGAATTATCGGTGGCGCTAGTTGTTGTCCGTTGCCCAAAGCCAGTGCCTTGTGGCGCAAGTGTCTGTGAACATTCACTTTGAACGCCTGCATTTTCTTAACCTGGAGGTTGGCGAGCATCTCTGCTGGGAGGCTGTTCCACACTTCCACGAGGCAGAAGGGAAATGACCGGCGGATGTAGTTAGGGGCACCGTGTGGGAGGTCAAGCTTCATGTAGGCAGGGTGGCGGCTGGCGTCGAGCTGCCGTCTAGTCTTGGGATGAGGCCGTGGCGGTTCCGGAGGTGGAAGCATTGCGGTGAGTTGCGCTGGGCCATCAGTGGAGCGTAGCTTGTACAGATACGTGAGGCCAGCCACCGAGCGGCGTAGACTGAGGGAGTCCAGGAGGGTGCCTGGGCCGATGATGTCCAGAGCCCTCCTCTGGCGTGTTCAGTTCTATCGCCACTCAATCATCTGTTGAGCTATCGCCACACCGAAAACATGTCTGGAAGGTCCTCCCAATGAGCTATTGATCATGGCGATGCGATATTCCGAGCTAGAGTAGAGCTGTTTGTGCAGTGATCTATCCAGTGTGTACAGTAGGTGCACTGCATAAGAAGTATAGCTCAAGTATAATCGTTGTTGCTCGGATGCGATGCGGTCTACGTGACGAGTACACTCATCTTAAGCCCGGACATGTGGCATGCATGGCATGTTTTGTTGTGTAGTTTAAAATGAGATAATGTGCAGTTCTTAGTCACTAGCAAGTCGTTGGATTTTTTGCAGCTCCACGTCACCATTTTAACTGGCCGTATATGCATATCCTCCCCCCGTCACCACCATTCCCATTATTGTCATAGACAGTGGAATTTGCGCATTATGAAATGTGACAATAAGTTTCCAACTGATTGGATACTACTTGGGACCAATTACAGTCAGGTTCAGGAACGTGTTGTCGGAGGTGAAGGAAAGTGATTCATTTTAAAAGGTTGAGAAGCAAGTCAAAGACCAAACCATTTCAATTTGACCTCCCGATTCTTTCAAATTGAAGTGCAGTTCCATTTGCTCCACCAACTGGCCAGCGTAAGGATCTCATTTAAAGGATACTGTAGCCTCTGTATTCTACTGGCATTTTCTTTACTAACAACACTCTGTTGAGCTGATTTTGATAGGGATGCATAAAATTAATACGCCGGCAACTTTCAACTCGAGAACTTTGAATTCGAGAATTTGAAGCCGTTCCACCAAAAAACATAGAACTCAACGATCAACTGCAGTTCAAACCCAGGCTATGCTGTTTCAGTTAATGTTTGTTCTATTACATTTTTACTTTTCAATTTTCTACTTTCTTGAATTCAAGCATAATTTTGCGACTTCTTGATTTTTTTGGCAGGTGTGTTGTGTAGCAGTCACGCTGCCCCTTCTAATGGAGCTATTGCCAGTATGTCCTTGGAGATCAATGGTGCAACAATTTTCACTTGCAATTCGGGATACAATTTAGTCGGCAGCAGTGCATCTGTTTGTCTACCAACTGGAACTTGGTCAACTTTGCCACCAATGTGCCAGAGTAAGGATCTGATTTAAAGATTACTGTAGCCTCTATGTTCCGTTGGTATTTTGCTGGACGGTCATTACATTGGCATTAGAGTCATTACGTTTTGATAAGGAAGCATATATACTTCGACAAGTTTCAACTCAAAAATGAAATTTCATTGTGTCTGCAGAATTCATTTCTTTGCAAGGTGACAAAGTTGTATTTCTTTTTTTCCTTTTCCACTGCAATTAGATATCACATGTTCACCACCTTTGACTTCTCCCGTCTATGGTAAAATAGCCAGCAGCTCAAATGACGTTGGTGGTGCAACATACTTCACCTGTAACTCAGGATTTGCATTAGTGGGCACAAGTGCATCTGTGTGCACCTCATCTGGATCATGGTCACAACCAGCACCAACTTGCCAAGGTAAGAGTATGATGAGCTCATTGCAGTGAACGTATTCCTATGTGAAGACGATAAATTTATATTCCTGTATCATAGTCAAACCAATCATCACTTTGGTTGCTTCCATCATTGTCCAGGAAATGTTGAACCTTTTCCAGGAGACTTTCCACCACTTGTCTGTCTGACCACTGACATTATGATTCTCATATTCGTCCTGAATGGGACTCACGACGGTGTATACTGACTGTGAGCATATGCGTTCGTGAGAGAGCGGGAAAACGAAAGGAAAAAGAAAAGAGGGTCCTGTAATAAAGGTCAAATTTAAGAAGAGCAGTACTAGACTAAAATGGCTGAGCAGATGTTACTCCATCTTTTTCTGTCGCGTGCATTGCTGCCAAGATCACGAAGGCAGCTGGGTTCAAAAATGCAGATAAGTATGAGGCAGACGTCTCGCTGGATACATGTGGTCAGGCAAGAGCGGGGTTCACCTAACTGTTATTCGAAAGGGCTGACTGGTAACATACGTACAGAAAGCAGTGAGAGAAACATTTGCAGGGATATCACTTGCCATGGCCATTTCAGATACAGAGCACTGTCCAGTAGCAGCATATAAATGTGCATTCGAGATGACATCTGGGTAGGTAATTCCAAGGGTTCACCTCAGCTGTTTCCTGTGAAACACATCTAGGCGGTTTTGTTGTGTTTTCTTGTTTTCCTGTTCCGCTGCTCCGTTGTTCAGAAATTATGTGTTCTGGCTCAGTGACAGCACCTACAAATGGTCATGTGACCGGAAATGGCAATACATTCTCGTCAGTACGTCAGTTCTCTTGCATGGAAGGTTATCAACTGAGTGGCACAAGTTACACTATATGTCTGGCAAATGGTACATGGTCAACTGCTAGTCCAGTGTGCACACGTGAGTAACATACCATCTTCTATCTTACACAATCAGCTTATGAATTTAGCGAGTTTAGCATTCTAGCTCTTCAACGACAGTAAAACCTGTGACTAATGACCACCCCTTGGGGCCAAAGAAAGCGGTTTTTAGTGGCAGGTGGTCCTTAGATCGAGGTTTGCACCGCACTACCATTATTAGATGGAATGTGAGACTTTCTTGTGAGCTACTTGCGCGCCCATCTTTGCCATAGCAACACAGGCCCTTTATCTTGCATGCTCTCCTGTCGACTCGCTCTCTCTCTCCCACAATGTAATCGTAGTAGTATAGAAGTATTTATTTTATTTACCATCGGATGCCTCAACAGTGATACGCACAACTCTTAAGAGGGCCGATAACGGGGTAATTGGAAAGGAAAAGAAAAGAAAAGAAAAATAGAAAAAATTGGAATCCAGACATCAAGCAGTGAAGTAATCAAACACCAAGTCAACTTCAAGCTTAGTACAAGAACTATCAAGATCATCGAGAAACTCAACAGATTCCAAAAAGAAGGTCAAAATACCTCTAAAATGCCACTGGGTCTTTAAAAGATCCCTGAGATGGTTTGCAAATGTAGAGGTACGGTGGTGTCTGCGCCACTCGGCAGGCAGTGTATTAAAGAAAATTGCGGCACGATTAGAAAAAGAATTTACTCCATCAGTTGTCCGGTGCTTAGATATGGCAATGGAAGCATTAGAGTGGCTTCTAGTTCTAAGGCCTGTTGTGATCGATGGAAATAATTCAGTTAGGGTAGGCAGTGAGATGATGACATGATTGCTATGAATAAACTGGAGCAGTAGTTAGTCTTTGTCTCCGTCTATTCGTCTACCCCAATAAATGTCGTTCTACCTACCTGTCCCGTTGTCCGTTGTGTCTGGAGAACTGAGTGAAAGCTATACTTATCATTCCAAACCAAAATTGGGACGAAATGGGCTGCCAAGTGAGCATTCACGATATAAAAACAACTCTGAAAAATAAGCGACAATTTTGCTGATGCGGATCAAGTAGAAAATGTTCCAGCTGCGTAATCGAGCTGAGGCGTGCGGCAGCGTGTGCCCTGGCGGGAATGCGTAGAATCAGTAGTGGCCCTGGAAAGGTTACTTAAAAGGCGGCGGACATGCTTTCACAAATTCAATGCACATTGTACTTAACTTTTGCTGGCTTATACTATCAATAAATGATTTACATGTGCCACAGAACGCACCTTCACATAAATACGATCCTTGTGATACTTATAGCATATCAATTTTTGATAAGATCTGGATAAGAAGACCTTGGGATAAGACAAACTAACTGGTTAGACTGTATGCCTGTAATTTTGCTACATTGTGTGATGTGCTATCATCATGTTGGCATGGCAATGGTTTTTATTTAGTTCCGCTCTGACTGCTGTACTAGGGTTCACTTTTGGTCTCATAATCCGGTCGTATTTTTAGCCGATCTTTCTACTTGAAGTAGTTGTTCCTCAGGTGAAAAGTTTCTGTAAGTTGAGCAACAAATCCTTGTGCATGGTTGTTGCAGAGAGTTCATCTGCTGCATTTTTCCTGAAAAAAACTTTTCCTTCTTCTGTCTTGGCAGTGATGGGATGCTTGCCGCTCGATGCTCCCGGAAATGGTTCCATCGTATCTAGCAGTCCTCTTCGGACGGATTTCGCATGCGACGATGGATTTGCCATCATAGGCGATCCATCTCCGATGTGTTTGATTACGGCATACAATTGGACCTCTGGTACACCCACATGTGCAGGTGAGGCTCAACAGTAGTCAATCAACATTTAAATACTAGTCCAAGCATTCACGCCTTCCTTTCCTACGGACTTTGTTACGGAATTTTTCCACTACCGGTGGGTATTCTCATAGCAGGTCTCTATTGTCGATGTCTAGTGTGACTGCTGCTATAATTCATCTTAAGAATATATCGATATAGATAATCTGATGCTGATGTATACAATGGAGGCCTAGGCTAGAATGTTAGGAGTTATGCATGACAGTCCACCAAGGTAACGACAGGTAGCGTGACCAGGTAGGCACAGTGGGTTGGCCACGAACCGTTTCCTTTTTGTATTTGTTCAACATTTTCCTGGTTCGTCAAAGGACTCCCAATGACAAATGAATGTGAATCGAAAGGTGAGAGCCAACCTGGACGGGAAGGGGGGGGGGGGAGTGGTTTGCGTGTTAGTAGTCGTCGTGAGTTCCCCTTGGGAATGAAAACAATAATTACCTTTGAGTGTGACTGAAAGGCAACAAATTCCTGACAGTGGTAGTGAGATCTAGAATGACTTGACACCCACCACCTACGCGTCTACGAAGCGCAAACCAAAGAACTTCCAACGTTGAAGTCTCCGTTACGAAAAGATCAAAATAAGAGGGCAAGCGCAACGGAGACTTGCACAACCTATGTCCGACGGCCACAAATTGCAATTTGCGTACCCTTAGCCTTCCAACTTTGAGTGTTTCTATTTTGCGCTTCATAAATGTGTTGAGGCTATGTTTCAGGTCGTTGAATATCTCAGTCCATACTATCAATGGGTGTGCCTTATTTGTCGCACTACCAGACTATCTCAACAATCTCGAAGTAAGCCCAAATAATGAGAACTAAAAATGTGGAACCAATTCAACTTGTAGCACAAAATAGCACGGCAGAACTAAGAGCTCGAGTGGTTAGGAGTGAATTCCATGTGTGTATATGTGTGTGTGTGTGCGTGCATGTGCGTGTATGTGTGTTTTTATGTGTGTATGTGTAATTTTGTTTGTTTATGCCTGTATATGTGTGCACATTTATGTACATGTATGTGCTTGCATGTTTTGGTGCAGAACTGCCGGAATGCCCTGACCTCACTGTGGATAATGCAGATGTGTTAAGCGGCTCAAGCAAAGTGAACAGCACTCGTGTTGTCACTTGTACTCCAGGCTTTGAGATGTTGGGTGACTCAATGGTGGTCTGCCTTGACGATGGCAATTGGTCTAGCATACCTATCTGCATCCGTAAGTATGTGCTTCACTCTACATGCAAGCCTCAGCTTGGTATTCAAAGAAACAAGTGAGCCTCTTTAGGGAATACGTTTGAACTGAAACAACTGATGCATAGGCTTCTAACCTGTCTGGTGAGGGATATCTGTAGTGCCTCAAAGGATTCCGGTCTAGATTCGAGCTTCACTTACAAACCAAGAGCATAGTTTTCAGTGGTAGAAAGCACCTCAGTACAGTTACGGCATGGGTCATCGACCCACTCTCTCACCCTCTTCCTCTTGCTCTCTCACACAATCTCGTTATCTCCCACATTCATTCACTGTCTCATTCATTCATTTCGTCATCCCAATTTGGAACCAGCTGCCTTCCTTTATCATTCCTCACCCATTTCACCCAAAGAACATCCAAAAGTCCAATACAGCAGCTTATCACCATCTCCTCAGAACAAACTGGCATTGGGCCACTCATAGCATATTGTGAGTAAGAGGGTACAGCGTCCTACCCTGCTTGGACATAATCTCTCCTCACAGACAGTCTCCTCTTGAATTTAAAAGTCTTACAGCGTTCACATCAATACTCAACTTATTCTTTTGCTCACTGAGCAGTACAAACTTTCCATTTTCTTTCTTCTGTTTTCTTTTTCAATTTAATCCTCCCTACCCAATCTCCCTTTGGTGCGTCCATGGAGCTATGAAGCCGAGACCTCTGGTCGGCGGAGCGTAATGGGTCCCACCACCACACTCCATTACTCACCCCTGTGTCTGCAGATTAGCCATTGACAGACTATGCTCGGCCAATCGTCAAATTATGCTTTTGATTATGCCACAATTTTGCCAACAAATATGCTGAATTATTTATTAATTTTATTTATTTATTTATTCAACATCTTATGGCTTCCGATGGCAGCCAAAAGGGAAGATGTGGGTGATAGCCAACCATGGTAAAAGAAGGAGAAGATTATATACATGAAAAGGAAACCGCCGAAAAGCTTTGTTGATAAGTTTTTATTATTATTATGGTGCACTGAGTCATCAGCAGGCACTCAGATTCACTTTAAATTATTTCAATGATGCAGAAGTCTTCAATGAGTCGGGAAGTTGTAGCCACGCACAGTAGCCCTGGAAGAATGGCGATCTTGTGAATTGCGTTGACTTGGCCTGGGGAAGAGACACTTTGTTTCTGGTTGAGCGGCCCGAAACAAACCAGTTATAAGGCTTTATATGTTCAGGAACACAACCCAAGAGCATTGGATGAACCAATATACAGAGGCAAGTTAGTCGGCGTTGCTCTAACGGAGTAGTCTGAGGTACTAAGTACAACTCATTGGAGGGAATGGAAGGTTTCTTTGAGAACAAAATTTTTAGAACTTTTTTTATGATGAACTTCAATGGAATCGGATAAGACCATAGCTAGGCCACACCAGGCTGTGGCAGCATATTCAGACAATAGAAGGAGATAAATTATATATATAGCTGAACGGCACGGAATAGAGAGATGTTTACAATGACTTTTAATAAAGCCCAGAGCACGGCTGACTTTATTACAAATGTGATCTACATGAGCCGACCAGAACATGGATGAATCGAACATTACCCCTAGATGTTTGTACTCCTTTTCCGTCTGAATTTCTGTGGGTGAATTGGGAAAGGTGACCTTAAACATTGAGGCAGAATCTGTTAGAAACAGTACTCTGGGTTTTGAAACGTTGGCCTGAAGCCTGCAACTGGACATCTACGTGCCAATCATATTTATCGCGTCTTGCAACTCTGACTCAAGCTGTTTGACAGTTTTACAGTGGCGCAAAGCAGCTGTATCGTCAGCAAACAATGACATTCCAGACGCTTGACTTGGTAGATCATTAACATACAAAACAAAAAGCAATGGTCCAATAATTGAGTCTTGAGGCACCCCCGACAGCACGGGTAGCTTTGGAGAGTCTGCTCCCGACACGGACACAAACTGGCTTCTCCCAGAAAGATAGCTCTCTATCTACTTCAACGGTGTGTCAGAGATGTTAAAGATGACTTGAAGCTTCCTCAAGACCTCTATGCTACACTGTGGCAAACGCCTTGGCAAGATCGAAGAAGCAAATGCACGTGTACAACTTTTCTGCTCTTGCTCCGATAATGTCCTGTACAAGGTGAGTCAGCTCCAGTCAGCTGCAGTGAAGTCGAGTCTCCACGACGAAAGCCAGATTGAGCAGGGTGAATGGCAGGGGCAACATGGCTATACAACTGATCATAAACTATTCGTTCACATAATTTTGAAATGCATGATAAGAGAGAGATTGGCCTGTAATTTCCAGGAGTAGCTTTACCACCTTAGCCCTTAAATATCGGCGTTATTTTGGCCACTTTCCATGCCAATGGAAACTTCCCTTTTCTGAAAGACAAATTAAATAGAAGACATAGAGGACATGATAAAAATGGTACTAGAGCCTTAACAACTTCATTGGAGATGCCGTCCATACCAGGCGATTTGTTAAGCTTACGCTTCGCAATAGCTTTGTGCACTCCAGCTGTGGTTATTATCGGAGCACGAAACGCATTCGGGAGGCAAGGGTGTTGGCCTAAGGACGGCAATGGCATGTGTGGGTCGTCAATAACCGCCACTGATGCAAATTGCTCGTTCAAAGCTGCAGCTTTAGCTGCAGGGTCTGCTGCCAACTTTCCATTTGATTCGAGATCAGGTATCCCAGGGCTATTTCCCGAAGATCTCTGCATGCGAATGAATTGATGCAGTGGATGCGCTCCGTTCCACTATATATTCACACTGTACATAGAAGAATGAGAAACCACGCATACACACACGGCCATGCCCTAAGCATAATTTTTGTCTAAACCGAAAAATTATGCCGACCTTACACGTTCGAATCCGTATATTACGCCGGAGCATAATTTTTGGACGAAATCCCAAGATTATGCCAAATAGTATGCCGGCATAATCCGCCAAGGGCTATGACAAGGAGTCGTAACTGGGGTATTAAAAAACAACATCTGCAGACTTTCTGACAAAGCTGTATTATGCCCCTAAGCTTAATTTTTATCTAAACCGAAAGATTATGCCGACCTTACACGTTGGAATCCGTATATTATGCCGGAGCATAACTTTTTGACGAAATCCCAAGATTTCCTCAGAATTTCCAAACTCCATTGCAGCGTATTCCTTGCACTTGAAAACACCGCCCTTCCGGCAACAGGCTCTCAGCTGCACCAAATAAATGACTTTGCCAATATTTCGCCATTGATGCCCAATGGGCGAAATATTGGCAAAGTTATTTATTTGGTGCAGCTGAGAGCCTGTTGCCTGAATGGCGGTGTTTTAAAGTGCAACAAATCCCAAGATTATGCCAAATATTATGCCAAATATTATGCCGGATATTATGCCGGAGCATAATCCGCCAAGGGCTACTGTAGATATGTGCATTTTGTAGAAAAAAAAGAAAAAACTCTCTCAGTCACTACAGAGGTTTTGCAGAGAGAACGTTCGCAATGATTTTCGCGTTCCGGGTTGCGGAGACTATTGCGAACGTTCGCGCGAAATTTGTGTTTTGCATGTTTTTCGCTCCAAGAAATTTTCGCGTGCACTCGCTTGTTTGAGAAGTGGTCTTCATCCGATTATTTTGTTGTTGCGAGTGGCGGCACCCTGAGTCACGGCCTGAGATGAGAGCTCGATGACTACCTTGTCCATGGCCGGAGACCCACAGACAAACGGGTTGGGTTGTGCCGTAATCTGGCGCATCAACACCTGAAATTCAAAAAGGCATCGTTGATGTAACCGACTCTGAGCAGTGAGAAGACGAGCAGGCAGGAGATCGGAGATGGTTCCGGAGATGAAGCAACACGGGCTGCCACAAGTATAGGAAAGCTAGCACCCGCGGACCAAGCCAAGAGTAGAGATCAAGAACAAACATGAAGATTGAGGGTGGCTCACCGTGCACGAACAGTCCACAAAGAGCGAAAAGTACTGCGACAGGTTTTGTGTGCACTCGCTTGTTCAAGTTTGAGAAGTGGTCTTCACCCGATTTGTTTGTTGCGAGTGGCGGCATGCGCTCCAGTTACCCTGAGTTACGGCCTGAGACGAGAGCTCTTTGACTACGTTGCCCATGGCCGAAGACCAACAGACAAACGGGCTGGGTTGGCTTGTGCTGTAATCTTGCGCATCAACACCTGAGATTCAAAAAGGCATCATTGATGAAACCGACTCTGAGCAGTGAGAAGACGAGGAAGCAGGAGATCGGAGGTGGTTCTGGAGATGAAGCAACACGGGCTGCCACAAGTAGAGGAAAGCTAGCACCCGCGGACCAAGCCAAGAGTAGAGATCAAGCACAAACATGAAGATTGAGGGTGGCTCACCGTGCACCAGGCTGACCAGTGGTCTACAAAGAGCGAAAGTTACAGCGAAAGTTTGCTTCGCGTTGCTTGCAACTTTCGCGTTCAAAACTGCGAACGTTCGCACGAAGTTTCGCTTTTCGTGATGTCAAACGATAATTCGCGCGTACGTTCGCTCCGCAAAACCTCTCTACTCTCTATCTATCTCACACTCACTCAAGTACTCTATCTCGCCACTCAGTCAAAGACCCTCTCACCGTATAATGCACAGGTCTCGCCGCATTTCAGACCTCCCTGTTATTCAACTGAGCTTTCTAAGCCTTTGTACATCCACGGGCATAATTTGGCAGTCTGACAAGGCGCCAGAGGATTTTGGGGCAATCGCTAACTTGGTTGTGTTGCTAGGTTGCTATGACAACGCTCAGTTGTGTGCTGGACCACCCCAATATGCAGATTGTTTTGTCGAGCATTTTGCTACTGGTAGAATACACTGCTGTTTTAGCATTGGGCTTCACGATGCTCCGGCACACAATACCTACAAACACCGCAATCTGCATATTGGGGTGGTCCAGCAGACACCGACAGAAAACGAAGAATCTGTTCACTTTACTTGGAGAATTGTAACTCGTCAGTACTGGATGTTTGTTGTGTTTGCACAGACCTTGTGGACTGCAATCCCCTGATGGTTACGAATGGGAAAGTCTCTGAAGGACAGAACACTGTTGGCAGTATTAGAACAGTGTTGTGCAATGCTGATCATGAACTCAGCGGCGATAGGACAATAGTCTGCTTGGAGGACGGCAGCTGGTCCAGCAGTTCAACGTGTAAAGGTGAGAATAAGACTGTGCATTTGAAATGTTATATTTCTCGCCGGCCGAGTGGAGCGAGATAGGCCAGAAGTGAGTTCTCGTGTAACACTTTTTTCCTCTTCCCAAAATGGTGTCTGATGTGTTTTCTCTGTCCTTTGCTCCGACATTCCGACACTCTGAGCAGACACTGTCTTCACCAATCACCACCGATGTCGCAACATCTTTCGCGTTGTTCTTTTTGCCTGACTTCTTCAGTATATATTTTTAGTACCACCTGTGTCAGTCACATCTGACTGCAGCCTATTGCACCTCACTTTGTGTGCTCCTGCCTCCGTTGTCTGTGTCTATGTCGGCATGTCGGTGCATGTGGAGCGAGAACCTTTATTTTCACAATGACCAGTGACCAATGGATGAGAAACTATTGAAACCTTCGATTACATCATCAGTTGAGATTATTCGGCGAATTCACAGCCAGCGCTGATCTTGCACGGGCATAATTAGCTTAGTAGCCATTTGAAAAACTGCTGAATTACGCTCGTATGTTGTGATTAACATAAGTGTTTGTAAGGAAAAGTGAGCATGCGAATTGGTTCGAAAGGCAACAGCTGGATTGCAAGAGGAGAGGCGAGTGTACGTGTGAACGACGCGTTTGTGCGTGTTTTGCTGACTTTCGGGGCGTCATGCGTATATGGAAACGTGCCAAAATGGAAATTCCAACATGTCATGTTTTTCAGCACGTATCAGACGCGTACCGGCGCATATGCCAGTCATTTTGACTGGCGGCGTCAAAACATCAGTACATGTACTGGAGGTTGTCGCACTCCCTAACCACGACTCGAATTGGGTTTTTTTGTGAAAGCCTGTGCGCGTGTTGGGCCACGCATTCACCATGAGCGTACCGCATCCACACCCCAGTTGTGAACAAAGCTTTAGGTGTCAAAGTGTTTCTTCACACTTGAATTTTTCTGCACCATTCACAGAGCACAATGCAATTGTCGTACTTTTGTGACATGTTTGTTGAGGCATTACAGTCAGTCTGTTTAGATTCTTATGATCTGTTAGTGACTGGCGATTTCAACGCCCACAACTCAAGCTGGTGTCACACCGATTCTACCTCGAAGGCTGGTGATCTCCTTAGCACCGTATTTTCTGCTCTTGGGCTCCACCAGATGGTTGACTTCCCCACTCATTCCTCGCCTAATGGCTCTGTTTCGTGTCTGGACTTGGTGATCACCAACCGACCACGCCTCGTGCGCTCAATTGATCAAGCACCTCCCTTGGGTATGTCTGACCATATACAGATTGTTTGCACTTTATGTTACGCCCCTATTTCGAACTACTTCCCCAACTCTTCCACTGGTCCTCCCTCTTCACTGTATCGCTTCAAACAAGTACCTTCGCACCTTTGGCAATTAATCAACTCTGATTTAGCTGGCTACAACTGGTCCTCTCTGAACTCGTACACTGATGTTAATGACGCACTTCATCACTTTGATTGTGAGCTCCAGTCCGCCTTCCGTCGTCACCTCACCTCATTCGGAGCCACCCACACTGTGACATCTCCACGACCCCGCATGCAATCTCCACCATGGGTTACTGCTGAGCTCAGGTCTGCTGTAAAACGCAAGCGTGATCTATACAGTGTGTACAAAAAATATCCGACAGCAGTAAATCATGCAGCTTATAACCGACAAAGGAATGCTGTAAAGCACCTGTCTCGGCAAGCACATCGTCAATATATACGCTCCATCCAAGCATCACTAACGTCACCGAATCGACCTACACTCTTTCAGTTTGTGCGAGCACAGCGGCACACTTCCGGCCGTGTCATACCCCAAACGATGATAGCATCCGACGGTACGGTCGCCACGTCCCCCAAGAGCATAGGTGATGTTCTGAACACTCAGTTCACCTCATTTGGGCTACCTGATGATCCTTCGTGGCGCATTCCCCCTTTGTCCCAGTCGCCTTTCATATCTGTTCCGTTCCGTACAATCACTGTCACTACGTTTCAAGTTCGGAAATATCTGAAGCGCCTGAAATGTGGAAAGTCTCCCGGCTCAGATGGGATCCCGAATGAAGTGCTGCAGTCTCTTGCACCATCAATAGCCTATCCTCTCGCCATTATTTTTAATATGTCATTTCGAACTGGTACATTCCCACAGGATTGGAAATCCGCCATCGTGACACCGCTTTACAAGAATAAAGGCTCCCGTGCTTGCCCGGCAAACTACCGCCCCATCTCTCTGCTGCGCACAGTTTCCAAACTTTGTGAGCGTATTGTGTTCGATTCCCTCTACCTGCACATCGCTCCGGCTCTCTCACCAGCTCAGTCGGGATTCTGCCGTGGTGACTCAACTCAATACCAGGTGACTCGACTTGTCCAAGACATAGCGACAAAGAGGAACTGTGGGGAGCATGTGGGAATGGTGTTTTTCGACTTGGCTAAGGCATTCGACACCGTTTGGCATCGTGGCTTACTTGCCAAGTTGGAGGTCACCTTCCGGGTGGAGGATGCTGCCTTGCGTTGGATATCCTCGTATCTGTCTGCTCGTTCTCAGGCTGTTCGCTTGTCTTATTTCTTGTCTGATCCCCTCCCTGTAACGTCTGGAGTGCCCCAAGGTTCCATTCTGGGTCCTTTGTTATTCTTGCTTTACGTTAATGACCTACCTTCAGTTGTCCCCGATGTTAGTTTGTATGCGGATGACACTGGCCTTATCTGTTCTGATTCCTCCCCTGCACAATTACTCCTTACCATGCAGCATCGCATCAACAGCACTGTCATGTGGATGCAAACGTGGAAACTCCAGCCCAATTTAGACAAGACAGAAGCCATGTATATTTCTTCATCCCCTCCTGATCAACCATTATACTTCCCTGACTCGACTATGCCTATCCGTGTTGTTACTCAGCACAAACATCTCGGTGTGATGTTTGACTGCAAACTCTCTTGGGCTGCACATGTCAACTGTGTATGCAAGCGAACCAGTTCAGCATTAGGGGTACTACAACCACATTGCACTCATTTGCCCATCCAGTGTAAACTATTATTTTATCAGTGCTATATTCTCCCTATATTCGACTATTGCGATACCGCTTGGTGTGGCCTTTCTGACACAACTCTGAACCAATTAGAAGTCCACCATAGATTTATACTTAAAATTCTTTACAACAAGGATCGATGTTTTCCTTCGGATGCCCTTTATCGACTTGCACACACTTCTCCTCTCTCCGTTCGTCATAAGCACCATCTCTGTACACTGGTTCATAAAATATTTCTTCATAAAACCCCTTCACACATGATGAAGTACAATTGGTTTTCGACAAGCTCAACCCGTAACGCGCTCATCCTGCCTCTTGTTAAGTCAGCCCAGTATCTAAAGTCCCCTTTGTTTTCCGGCTACTCTCATTGGTTATCATTACCATACGGTCTGAAAACTTGTTCTTCTATTGGTCAGTTTAAAGATCTACTATCACAACTGAACTAGACGCAATAATTATCATCGAAGAACATTCTCGAATACCTGGGTGATGCACGAATTTTGATAGTGCTCACTTCCGTTAATCGTTTTTCTTTGTAATTTTCCATTCATTTTCTGCTCTAATTCATATTTGCTTTGTTTTCCTAGCTTACTATTGCCGTGGCTGGCTCAACGCCCTTGTCTCCGGGGATTCTGTCCCTGCATTAGCTATGCTTGTCACATGCTATGAGATTGTGTCTAATAATAATAATAATTCTCTTACACTAATCACAGGGATTCTATTGCGGCTACTTAGTAGTGTGTGTGTATTCCAACGATGTGCTTTGCAGCTACTGGTCCTCCTGTGGCACTCATCCCATCGACGGAGGTCCCGGAACCTACTGAAGCCGCCTCAACATTCTTGAGCCAGGGTGGCAGTGTGGCTCTGATTGTTTTCATTGGTGTCTTATTTATGATGCTTTTGATCGCCGTCATCGCCATCGTCCGGCTTCGGCGGGACTTCCCCGAGCATATGCACGAGGTTGCCCTGAGCTACAACAACAAGAGAGAGAAAAGACAAATGGTGACCCTCACTCACTCGGCGCCGATTCCAGAAAACAACCTGTATGCCACAGTGAACAAGCCGCAGAGCGCGACGCCTGCAGTCCAGATGGAAGTTGCCTACACGGATCTCACATTTACCACCCCTCCAGCCGACTCTCCAGCTGGCTCTCAGGTGTAACGAGGCGCTATTCAAGCATTGATATGAATTTCATTGACGTAGTGGCTCTTGTTTTGTTATTGATCTGTTGCAATCATGATAGATTGCATGTGATATGAGTTTGCGCATACTTAAGCAGACCGATAGGTCGTGCTTCCATACAATCATATTCTTGTATGTTCACTTGCTTTTTTTCTCCATCCATCATCACCCCACAACTGCACTCTCCAGCCGACCGCGACACATTGCCACAGCGCGCTATCGGCAAAGCGACACATCCGTGGGTTGTACAACCCGTACAACGCCGTAATCTGCTACTTGCCCTTGTTTTTTTACTCACTTGCCTGGTCTTCATTCCAGCTATCTCAAATAAGGTTATATAGCTGTGAGTTGCCATCAGGATGAGGCTTTTCTTTCCAGCTTTTTTGCTTGCACCTTTGCTCCAGCTTGCATTCAGAGTTGGAAAATCATATTAATGAATGCGTATGCCTTGATCAGCTTTGAAACCAGACCTTTTTTGAGAGGAAATTGCTATCCGATTCTTTCTCGCTTGCATCTTTCCCTCAAACCTGTGAATATGTTATGCATTGAGGTGTATATTATTGTGCAGTGGATTTCCTCTAAGTTCGTGTGCAAGGATAAATGTAACCCTTGTATACTGAACCTGCTGGTTTTAGTTGCCAAGCTGAGGTGTCTGTTTTCTCTTTGTTGTTGTACAAGAAAATCCCGGCGTGCCGCCGACTGATTAACATGGTCACTGGCTCACGACCGAGTCTGTAGCGCACGAGAAGAATGCTCAACCCTCCTGTTGGCAGCCCTGCACGAAAGCACCGGTCTATTGCAGCTTCGACGGTTTACACTATGTTAGAAATCATTTGGATGCAGTGTTGTTACTTTTGTAGGATGCGTGCTAATGCATGCGTCACCTTCACCAGATACAGCTCTTACTTTTATCACTCTCGCCTAATGTGGCATATGCACTCTTGGTACTCTGTACACTTGCACGCTCTTTATTCCCACTACATGTACTTTGTATTTCACGCCGTCAGTTTCCATCGCATATCTTCAGTTGATTTCAGCCATTCTATGCATTCTGGTTGAATTATTTGAGTCAAGCATGATTGACTTCTCCAGTGCCTACCCTGTGCGCTTCAGTTTATCCTGGAAGCGGCAGTCCTGGATGCCAACAAAAAGCTGTAACTTCGTTGATTCTGTGAAAAATATCTTCATCTGAAACAACCACAATTTGGCTGATTTCGGATCAAGATCGCTTGCATCCGCGGTAAGCCTGAAAAAGTGCGGCCAGGTTATTTTTCTGCTCTACTTCTTATACGTGCGTATTCTCCTCCCTGTGGTGTTTAGACAAAGGAGTTGGCCACATGGAAAAGAACAATCTTCTTTTTTTGTAGCTTTTGACTGCTGTCTTGGGAGTACAGCTGTCCACATCTAAATGTGTGTGTTTCATCAGGACATTCAGACACACGCTGCTGCAGAGTGCTCATAACGACTTAGTACTGAGTCCATGAGTAATTCTAGTCCTTTTCGAGCAAGCTCGGCTGGACTCCCGCAAAGGCAGTTCGTCGGAACAACATGTACATATTTGTGCTTGCAGCTGCTCCTTCAGCCTAGTCCAAAGTTATCAATGAATCGGCGTCAGTGTTGCCACTAGCCTTGAGACAATGTCGCCACGGGCTGAGGCACAACGAGAAATATCATCTTCGGCGGTTCGATACTCACTTCACGTCTCCTTGATGGCTCTATGTGTTTTCGACAAAACAATCCTCCTTGCGAAATCTTGTTTTGAATTTGTTCAACTTGTTTTGAATTTGTTCAACCGCTTTGGTAGGGCACACGTACATAATAATTGACCTGACGAAATAGTCATTGTTAGCTACATCAAGTGCCAAAAAGAGTTACGTGTCTATACAAAGCGATCTACCAGTATCACCCAGTAACACAAGGAGGGTTGCACCTACCTCAAGAGTGTAGCCGATTGTTGCCAAGCAAACGCCGGGATTTCCCAATATTATTCACTATGAAACTCCAAATGCCACTAAAATCTCGCAAAAGGTTCGTTTTCATCCTATCTAATGTTCCCTAATGCTCTGATGCTTCAGACGCAGCATTGGCGCCCAACGTTACTCGACGCAGAGTTCTGTCTCCGCAGCTCACGGCCCTGAGATGTAATTTACGTGTAGTGTTGTTCCCGTCACTGCTGGACTGTCCTTGTTTATTCGTCATCCCTGTCCGTGTTTGTCGTGGAGCTGTGTCGCCGTGCTGTGTTGTCACGCGGTGTCGTCGCGCAATGTCGTCCTTCTTCGGACTAAAAATTGGCGCCTGCCCGACCATTGCTCGGAACAAACGACCCGGCATTCGTCTCGTCGTCAGTCTCGTCTCGTCGCCAACCTCGTCTCATCTTCAACCCCGCTTCTTCGATGTCAACCTCGTCTCGTCCAAGTCATTCCGGTCAGCTACTTCCTTTATTTCTCTCTTTCTTTTTCATCCGTCCTTCGTCGTCAAATTTATTTTCGGTTCATTTATTTCGTGATTTTTTTGTAGTGTGTGTGCGCGTGTGTTCTTCATAAAATGTTAGTAATTAGAGGTCCGATCATGGTTAGCCACGCTCTAATTTTAGATGTTTAACAGAAGTGCAACTACGCTCTTTTTAGCCATGCAAGCAGTATCAGTAGGTTCCTCGTCATGTCTAGTTTCTTTTTCTTTAGACTTAGAGAAGTACAGGAACAATAACTGTGATGCATGATACCACAAGTAAACACTTTTGTGAGAACCATCCACGTGTGCAGTGTATGTGTGGTTTTTGGCTTTAGGCATTTTTTATCTCTATTTTTCTAATATAGCTATGAATAGGATGAAGGCCGCAGACATCACGCAACTACGTTGCTTGTTCGACATGTATTTACTGTGTATTTTATAACAAAAATATTATTGAAAACCCATAATCGATTTTCTTGTTCCTATCATCAGTGGGAAAAATACGGAACTAAGGATACAACCAAAGAAACTGAAGTTAAGTACTGTAAATAGAAATGTGTTAGAAATAACAAAAAAATACAAATGCAATAAAACCACTAGAGGAAACGCAAAAAGGTAACAAGATTACGTAACCAAAGGCGAGAAGGCGCTAAACGAAGTGTCAACCTACGAATACAAATTCAGTGCAACAACGTGCTCCTTCTGCTTACACAAAACAGGCTTATGAATACGTATACAGACTGCCACAAGGACTTTCAACTGTTGGACATAACGCGCACGACACAGTACAGAAAAATGAGAGTCATCATACACACTAAGACGAGATAACAAGTGTAAATACACAGCTGACTTCTTACGATCAACACATTCATCCGCCTCATCTCGCTCCTTCCCACCCGACTCCTCCTCGTCCATCTCATCATCCTCTTCCTCGTTCCGCTCGTCATCCTCACGATCATCACGATCGTTGTATCCTTAGTTCCGTATTTTTCCCACTGATGATAGGAACAAGAAAATCGATTATGGATTTTCAATAATATTTTTGTTATAAAATACACAGTAAATACATGTCGAACAAGTTACGTAGTTGCGTGATGTCTGCGGCCTTCATCCTATTCATAGCTATATTAATATTATTATCTCCACGTCCACTTCTCTTCGTCTTATTATTTTCCGCGAGGTCGCGGTTCTTTTTTTGTTCAGGGGAGGTATGTTAGGTAATTACTCCCGTTCCTTTTCCAGCCGGCCTGCATGTACCTGTACTACGTCATACTCACCTTTCGTTCCGTTGGCCTGGGTAGCTACTTGCGCGCACATGTTTGACATAGCTACCCAGGCCCTTTATATTGTGTTGCTCCTCTCTTCAACTCGCTCTCTCGACTCTCACTCGAATGATTGCAGATCTGCCACTAAAATCGAATTCAACACTACATTATCCTCTCCATTCTATCTCCCTTCCGTGCCTGTTTTTTCTCCCCTCTTCTCTTCTAAGTTTCCTTGTGAGAAGGTGCCATTGCCTGTTTGGTTGAGCGACTATAAATAAAGGCAAATCAACAACATGCCTCACTTCTTATCCGCAGTGGGCAATTTTCTCCATTTCTGAGACGGCATTGCCTGTTAACTTCTCATAAAAAAATTGTCATGACGAATCGCTTGTATGAGCATTACTGAGTATGCATTATATTTCACATTAATCAACTTTTCCAATCCTGCGTTCAGTGTATTTGGCGCTGAAAAAATTATGCTGTGCATTGTTGGCGCTGAGATGAGCCATGCGACATTTCGCTGGCGCTCATGTGATTAAAGGGGAAGTATACCCTGAAATCAAATTTTCACCAGTTGTAGTCTTCTGGGTGCTGAGTCGAATGGTCTTGGTCCGAGGAAGCTGCGACGCTCCCTTCCTACTTGAATCCCAATCGAACTCGCGCACTTCCACCTAAACTGGGTGACTGCGCCCTACTAGATGGGGATTTGTATGCAAAATGTCACTAAAAGCGCCATTTCGTTCTTATAAAAGCACGGATGACCGCGATTGGCCCATATGTTGTAGTCTTTTGGACGCTGAGTCGACTGGCTTTGGTCCGAAAAAGCTGCGATGCAGCGTTCCTCCTTTATTCCCAATCGAACATGGTTGAACAAGCGGTCACGTGCTCCTGGGTGCCCAAATCACCTGGTCACCGCGCCAGCAGGCGACAACTTTCACACCAAGGTTCAACTCGAGTTCAACTCGAGTGACAGGACTGCACCCAAAAAAGGTCAAATAGGCTAGTAAGTTGTACCCTGCAGGCACGGTGACCAGGTGACTGGTGTACGCAGGAGCACGCGACCGCTTGTTCAACCATGTTCGATTGGGAATAAAGGAGGAACGCTGCATCGCAGCCTTTTCGGACCAAAACCAGTCGACTCAGCGTCCAAAAGACTACAATGGGCCAATCGCGGTCATCCGTGCTTTTATAAGAACGAAATGGCGCTTTTAGTGACATTTTGCATACAAATTCCCATCTAGTAGGGTGCAGTCACCCAGTTTCGGTGGAAGTGCGCGAGTTCGATTGGGAATAAAGGAGGAAGGGAGCGTCTCAGCTTCCTCGGACCAAGACCATTCGACTCAGCACCCCGAAGACTACAACTGGTGAAAATTTGATTTTAGGGTATACTTCCCCTTTAAGGCTGCATTTTGTTGGCGCCACGATGCTTTCGCTGGATGACACTGTGGGTATCCATTGCCTGTGGAAATGGCAAAGGCGAATGATTTTTTCGCGAAACAGGGTAAGCTTCAAAATAGAAGACTGTAAAGGGTTCTCTGCGGCGATGTGAATTCCACAGTACGGTTGCGCTCCCGTTCCTGGTGTTCATATTGCACGCCGTCAGACTGTCCCGTCGATTCCCGTCGATCCTTACGTCGCGTCCCGTCGCGCCCCGTCAAATGTGAACTAGGCTTTAGGCGGCGAAAAAATCAAGCTGTGAAACAGCACAGTCGCGAAGTGTCATTCGATGAATTGACCACCTTGAATTGGCTCCCGTCGAATTGTCACGCGCCTAGCTGACAGGATACCTATTGTACATTTCTGGGGCTTACATTCCACTCTGTTGCCATACTTTCTTTCTTTTGCTCTGTGGGTTTCTGATCTTAGGTACATGTATGTGTGAGCTTTCTTGGGCTTACATTACACACTGCACACAGGGTTTGTGTGAGTTTAACTTCTCTCGAGAATTACGCTGGTCAGTTCACAGAAGACCAGTACTAGCTCGACAGTAGGCGGACGGTACCGGCACTACGGACAATACCGGTAAATGTAAGGTACAGTTGTAAGAGATACTGTATTTGTAGGAGTATAACACGCACTTGAGCAGAATGCGTATCCCCTTAATGGCCAACGTTTTGGCAATCCAAGGTATACCCGGAGTATAATGCGCAGCCAAAATATTTGAGAAAATCATGGATTGTGAAGGCAGTATGCACGCATGTGTTCAACTCATTGGCCTCGATCGTCCAATTTTTCTTTTCTTCATTTGGCTTATGCGAAGACTAGCCTAACTTGATTGGCAATGTCAACGCGAACGACCG